CCCCCTCTTACGCGGGCGGCGGGGTGACGGCTTTCCTCCTTCTCCAGGTACCTGCTATGTGCCTCCGGCGACTTCGTGAAGATGTACAGCGTGGCCACCGAGGAGACGCTGCGGGTGATGGGGGGCCACGCCGACCTGGTGACAGGCATCCAGCTCAACCCCCACAACCACATGCAGGTCTGGGGGGGGAAGGTTTGGCTGCGGGGAGGTGCTGGGGGTGCTCCTGCCCCTTCGGCCGAGCCTATGTGCTTCTGCGGGGGCTGTCCCGGCTGTTTGGGGGCTTGCGGGGGCTGTCCCGGCTGTTTGGGGGCTGGCTTGGCTTTGAGAATGACCTGGAAGCGATTATAGCGTGGTCGAGCTAATGTTTCTCCTAAATCTGCCTGGAAGGGTAAACGTTATATCTGTTTTCTACCAAAAAAAAAATTGCGTGGATTACACTCATTGAACGGAACGACGGCAAAATGGAAAGATCAGCAAAGTTTCCATTTTTTTATTATTATTAAAGGGGGAAAAGAAGCGTGTGAAAAAATCAGCAACATTTACTCTGGTGGGTGTTTGCTCCTCTCTGTCTGCTGATACAGATGCAGATTTGACTAAATCCATGCAATTGCCCAGTGGCTCCCGGTCTACCAGCAGCCTGCCTTCCCTGTTCACTGCTGCTCCTGCTCTGGCTCTCAGTTTGCTTAGGGGGTTTTTTTGTGTCTATATATAAACAAGAATTATTTGCCAAGGTGGACTGCCTCTGCATATTATCTATGCAAAGTCTGATGCAAATGTTAATAGATGTTCACATAACGGGTATCTGTGCATAGTCTGTTAGTCTCAAGTGATTAAACACAAATACCTGTTGTTTCTTTCACACTTCATGAAAATGTGTATTTCAAACCAGAATAAGAGTGTTGTGTTTCCATCGCACTTTGTTTGAAGGCAGCACAGAGCTGGTGTGTGTCCTGTATTTTTGATGATTCAGCTGCTCAGAATCGCAGTTTCATTGGTCAATCCTTCAACTTTTAAGCTGTGATTTTATGTAAAAGCTGGCTTTGATATATTACTTTAACTTTTTTTTTTCCCCCCCCTCAGCTATATTCTTCCTCTGTTGATGGCAGCATTAAGCTGTGGGACTTCATGGATGGGATTCCCATTAAAGTATGTTGAGTTATTCCTGTTGAGCGCATGTCAAAATTATTCTTGACCCACTGATAGCAGAATAAGGATTTCTGCAGCTGTTACTGCCAATGGTCACAAATCAGTCTGAGATGTGTTGTTCTGCCACAAACACAGCCTGCAAGCCCTCTGTTTATGGCAGTAACAGAGTGTGGCAATTGATGTGAAATTCATGGTGATGCAGAATCATTTGGGGAAAAAGGTGGGACATGTACTGACATACTAACTTTGCTACTTGCTCCAGTTCAGAGTCCAGTGTCGCTCTTAGGGAGTGTGCTGCAGTTTGTGATATGCCAATAGGAATTCATATGATGGCTTGAAAATGTGGGCTGCTAACTGTCCTGTTGCTCCCGTTTTCTGCTAAATAGACGCATTTTCCTATAGGTGGGCCTTCTGCTTTGTATTAGGGGTAAGGTACCTTCAGGTTTTTCAGTAAATCTGATGTCTCATATTTTATTAGTACTGTTTTAACATTTGTATTAGTCCTTGATAGAATAAAGGTCTCTTCATTTGTTTTAGAATTGAGAATTTTAATTAATACATCAAGGTTTCTTTAAAGCACGTGTGTTCTTACTGTAAAAACAGCATTATTCGCTGTTGAAAACCATACGCACAAGTGTAATAATTGTTGACCTCCTTCTCTTTTTTTCTTCAGACTTTCGTTGTAGGATCCAAACTTCTTGCACTGTACGCACTTGCTTGTTGTGAGGACTCCGTGTTTGTTGTAATTCCAAAGCATGGTGAAAGAGGTGCAGTATGATTAGCATCATCCTTGTCATCTAAGTCATTCTATGTCTAAGCTACTGTCATGTCAGTGAATGGTATGCTGCAAGAATGTGCTTTAATATATTAATTTTGAAAATATTTCTTAAATCGTATGACAGATGTCTGCAGTCCTGCATTTTGTACCTTTTTTCTGTTTTCATTCTGACATCTATTTTTTTTAATATTTGTCTAGAAGAGTGTTTATCTTCACTTTTGAAGCATATACTGCATACATCTGATGTTGCAGATGCAATAAATCTTTAAGCAGTGCTTACCATGATATAGGGTATGCTACAGTACTTGAGACTACTCTTCCCCCTTAAGCAGTATTAACGTAAATAGATGTCCTATTTAACAGCATGCCTAGATATTTTTTCCTAGAATTTTGTCTGAAATAAATATAAATATAGCTTGACCTTACTCTTACTGTATTGCTACAAATGTCACTTCAGAGCAAGAGCAAATATTACACAACTTTGCTTGGTTTCTGCTTACAGTTGCACTGGTATCCACTATCTAGTCGTCAATCTTCAATACTATTGTTTGAATCAAAATACCTGAAATGATTATTTTGTGAAAGGTATTACAAACTTTTTCAAACTGACAAAAAGTATTGGAAGGTACTAACATGTTAGTTTTAAGGTAGAAGGGGTGTAAATCTCCTTTGTAAGGGGCGTATATAAACTTGTTCATAAAAGCCGTTTGATAACAGATTTTTCTTTGGTCAGATACGTTCCAACTTGTCTCAGTTAAGCTGTCAAAAGCAGCAGGCCAAGATTTGGAAGCCAAGGAATTATCGGTGGTTTTGGATGGTGTGGATGCATCACCAAAGCGTATTGCATTTGGGAGAGAAGTATATTCACCTTTTGGGGTTTTTTCTTCTATTGGGTGTTGGGGTTTTTTTTCCTCTCAAATGAACTATATGCTGTTTATGCTTTTAAACAGGCACAGCAGCACTGAAACAAAACTGAAGTTAAATGAATCTGTGTAAACCTATGCTTTCTTTTATGAAAAAAAACCAAACAACACTTATAATAGGAAAATATTTACTTAACATCAGCTTATGTGTTAACTCCAATTTTAAGTACTTTGTAGTGAAACATGATTTTTCTTTCATGTGTAAGAACAAAATCTGTATGTCTTACGTTGTTGTTTTACTATAACAGGGTGAATATGTGGCATCAGTGAAGGACGTTAATCTCCAAGTTTATTTTTTTAAACAGAAACAGTTGAACAGGTACGAATGAAAATGTCGGGTACTGATTCAGTCTGATATATCATAAATGTTTGTTAACTGGTGATACGTGCACACATTATTTTATATTTGTCAGCAACCATTTGGTTTTATGCTAGAGGGAATGTAGTCACTATATAAGAAGTTTCCTGTAGAGGCAGACAGTGAGGTGCCGCATTGGTAGCTTATCTTTTCAGCTCAGGCATGTATTTTTTTCAGGTAAATGCTTAGGCTGATGCTGGACTGAAACAAGTGACATAGTTTGGTCAGGGCCAAAACAGGGGCAGGGGGAGGAAGGGCGGGTGGAAGAAGAGAGAGAAAGAAGGAAAAATCTTTCAGCTTGATTGAAGGCAAAGAACTAATTAACGAGAAAAATAAGTCTGTCGCTATTTTTTGGAGAGCGCACGTAACTATAACAACTTGGAGCTGTTTAATTTTGCTAGTCAGAGTTATTTTTATGTGCATTAGCTGATCCTTTTGAAGCTTTGTTTAAAAAACAAAACCAAAACCAACTCATATAATTAAAGTTACTTTTTTAACTCTTGAAGGTTTTCTGTAAGTGCAACCAAGACAAAAAGTGGAAACAATCACTTCACTTGCATAGCATGCCATCCTACGGAGGATTGTATTGCAACTGGCCATGCTGATGGAAAGATTCGCCTCTGGTATGCACATTTTGATTCAACTGTGTACCCCATAAAGTGATGTGACCATAGGAATTAAGTGAAACCTGAGCAAAGCAGTCTAATTCGTCCTTAGCGTTGCCATTTTCAGAAGTCATAATGAGCAAAGAATGGCAGGCCCTGTGAACCTGCAGTACTGACATTGACTTCAGGGTACAGCTTCAGTTTAACGTCAAATGGGAAAATATTCCTGTTAAGCTATGCTCCATGAATCTAAACTGTATTTGAAAAAAGTAATGCAGGAGCAGCTGAAATAACTCCTTATGGGCAAGTAGAGTCCTAGGGAGAGCACACTAGTGGAATTGCGTGGTTAAGAGCAATACACTTGCCAAGTTGCTCTGCAGCGCTGAGTTGCTCAATATGTCTAAGATGCGTGGTATGCACCAGGAAGGCATCGAAAACTGGCTAGCATGGTTCTTTCCCTCCCTTTGTATCACTTGCCCATACAAGAAACTGTAGTCTAGAAGTTAGAGGAGAGGATGGTATACTTGATTCAATTCAGTATTTCCTTTTGTTTGCTCTGTTGTTGATGTTGTGCTTGAAGAACTGTTCTATTCCTCCCCACATAGGAGGAATTTCTACCACAAGAAAGAGTACACATTTTCCACACTGCACTGGCATCATGATACCGTCATGGATCTAGCTTTTTCTATGGAGGGTGAGTTAAAAAAAAACAAACCCAAAAAACCTTTCAAAGTCAAAGAGTTGCAGTGGGGAGGGAAAAATCAATAGACGTTTGAGTTTGTCCACTTACTAACAAATTAATTTCTAGAATTTTAAATATGTCCAGGAAGGATCTGAAATAAAAATTGAAGCAGTTGTTATTTTTCTATATATTTGGATTGGCATTCATAATGTCAAATATCTGCCTTCCTTGGTAGAATGTAAAATCTAACTCCTCCTCTTACCTCTTCCCCCACCTCCACTCTCCCCCCAGCTTTTCATCAGTAATAGTGATGAGTTCTTGCCAGAGCCTTATTTGCATCCAAATGAAACCAGCCAGTCTGAGCTCAAACCTAGTGGCAAAAATACAGTTAACTTTTATCTGAATTGTTTGACCTGAACTATCCTCCTTAGGATATTCCTTACTGCGAAGTACTTCTGACAGAAGGAGAACAACTCAGCTATATTCTAACACAAATACTCAGCTGATTCAGAAAGTAATGGGATCTACTACTCCCAAAGCTTTGTTTAAATTTTACTGCAGGCACAAATTCTTGTTACTTAATCCAAGTTTCTCTAGCAATTTAACATGGGATAATGAGAAGAGTATTTATGTGTATTGCCCAGGCTAGATATGAGGAATAATTGCTTTGTATGTGACAGTTTAAGAAAGGTTTTTGAGAAACCTGTTTGTCTGTCATTGTAAACATGTATGCTGATGATACATTTTTTTTAACCAAAACCTGTAACTGCATTTTTATTACCGGAAAAGGAACCAGCTTGCTGAGTGGTGGAGTTGAATCTGTTCTAGTTCTGTGGCACAATGAATCAGACTGTCAGAAGGATTTCCTTCCTCGTTTGGGATCTGCTATTGAGTACATCTCCATGTCATCTGATGGCGCACTCTGTTGCACCTTGCATACAGACAACAGTAAGCCAAAACATATTTTAAGTATCACTTAATGCAAAATGAAATGCAAATCTGTATGAGCTTTATTTTGTTAATTTCAGATTAATTAACTAGATACTATGTAAAAGTTCAATATTGACCTGAAAGAACAGGTGCTTGAAGTGATCTTTTGCTCTTTCATCAGTTCTGTGAATTTGCCTGACCACTGTTGTAACTTGGCTTTCCACCTTGATGTAGGGTTGTCATAAATTGAGAAAAGATATGTTTATAGGATTAAGTACAGTTGGTTAAGGTCCCTTCCCCACCATGAGATGTGGTTACGTTGCAGAAGCCTTTTGCAAGACTTTATCTGCTTTTCCTTTCAGGAATTACAATAATCAACAGCAACCTAAGATTTTCCAAAAGTATTCAAGGGCTAATCAAAAGTAAGTGCAATAAAATTTATCTTCCACTTAGAGGGCAGAATGTGTCGCTTCCTATCTTGGGTCATACGTCATCTTATTTTTGTTTCCAGGTACGGATGTCAAGACTGGTCTAGTGGTTGATCCTAGAACCAAAGCTTTAGTCCTGAATGGAGAGCCTGGCCACTTGCAGTTCTATTGTCTCCAAAGTGACCAACAGCTGTTCAGTGTAAGTTGAATGGGCTTGTACTAAAACTTTTAATTTATTCAATCAAGTAAGTTTTATGCATCAGAATTATTGGAAGAGTTAATATGGCAAACAGGAAAAAAGCCAACAGCTATACCACGAGACTGGATTCTAAGCTGAGATGTTCTCAGCTTTGTTGCAAACTTCTTTTACTTGTTAAGCATACTTAAATGTTGAAAGTTGAATAAGTACTTCAAAACAGCATGCTGTTCCTGTTAAATGTCAAAAATTTCTAGGTAAAATCCCTCTAAAATATCTCTTTTTTTTTTTTTTTTTTTTTTTCCTACACTTAGCTTTTTTGTGG